TTGTAAATACTAGAGCTTGAAAAAATCCTTGACCATTGAATGACAGGACGAGTGCAAATTATGAGAGAAGTATGTACATTGTATAGTAAATATTCTGGATCTTGGCACTCTGCAGTCAGAGGATATGCAGATATGTGAGTCTAACACGAGAATCCCTAAAAGAGGACCCTGAAAAACATAAATGTTGCATCTTGGGATGATTTACCCTCCTTTGCATGTATCACCATTACTACAAGTAAACAACAAATGTGTTATATTCCTCAAACTATCATGAACCATATAGAAACTTGAGGTCATCATGAACCCTAAAGATCATCATGAACCATTGGGATCATTTTGAAGAACCGAGGATTGTCACACATAGGGAAGCGTGAATATTGAATATTCTAAAAGTGTATGAGGAAGTCAGGAAGTTATGAAGTATTTCCTTATTACTTAACAAATCCCATCCATACATAATTTGTATTATGACTAAACACTTCATGATACATAAATATCAGATAAGGTCAATATGAACATTTAGTATATCATTAATTTCCTAGTTCCTAACTATATGGTCTCCCTCTCTATTCACTTTAAGAGTGACTTGATTGAAACTAGGGAAAGCAAGGACCATATACTTGTAGAAGGGAGACTATAATCACTTGAAATAATAATTTCTTTGAAACGTGAACTAATTTGTTAATGTGCTGAATTGTTTGTTCCAGTTTTTTTTTTCCTACCTCTGACAGATTTTGATGAATTTACACAAATCATATAATATATGTACAATTGGTCTAGGTTCACTAAACATCATCAAAATAAACACAAAATAAAGACAATGTGTTAACATGCAAAATGTCACCACCTGCCATTTGTTACAGATGCCGACCGAGGAGCACCTATCTCACAACATCGTCCACTAAAAGTTAGATATTTCAACAATACATCACAACTTCTGGTGGTGACAATAGTAAAATGGCAAAAACTTGTATAATCTGAAAAACTGGCAAAAGATAAAAATGCCCAGATATTCAAGGGGCTAAGTTTAACTGGTAGTTTCCCAATCTGTTGAGCCTCCATATTATTATTTACTTTTAGTATCATTCAACCTCTAAGCACTATAGAAATGGGGAAACCTCCACTATTTCATACTCATGTGCACCACTTATTAAATTGGCAACATGCCCCTGATAAGTAATAACTATCCTTATATTAAATTTCAGAAGATGTCAATTCCCATGAAGCCTCCAGTAGAACATGTGACATGTTTCATCCAATCAGAATATAGTATTATTTCAAAGATATGATTGAAGATCATATTCTATAGTTCATGTTGGCTACATATTTGTTATTGATAAACACATTACATGAATTGAGTCTAAATGAATATCAAGCCAGTTACAAAATTGTTTGAGGGCCGGGGTTACCCAGACAACCCTTAATGACAAAGTAATATCTAAAGTGATCGATTTGATAATTTTATTCAGAAATACATCAAATGCACCAAACAACAATAGTTTGTAATATCTATGCATATTGTATATTTTAATATCCTTAATTCTCATAATTACATGAACTAATTTCTAAATATCACATCGTCAATGTTGACATTCAGAGGCCTTAAACAACTCACATATTATTTATTTGACATTTTTGGAACATTTTACATTGATTTTTTTGATAACTTCAAAAATGAAACTGATCCATCTAAGTTGTGTTAAAAACTTTAGTAAGTAAAACATAATTGACTCGTTCTATACACATACGGTATGTACCCCAAGATATATATACATTTTTATATGCAATGATGTATAAATTAAGATTTTTGAGTTTCACCTGTATCCTTTTCAAGAGATTCCAAGTACAGTAAAAAAACTGTCAAGTGGAACACCTCCATATATGGAACACCTCCAAGTGGAACACCTCCATATATGGAACACCTCCAAGTGGAACATCTCCATATATGAAACAATTCCAAGTGGAACATCTCCATATATGGAACACCTCCAAGTGGAACATCTCCATATATGGTACACCTCCAAGTGGAACATCTCCATATATGGAACACCTCCAAGTGGAACATCTCCATCTATGGAACACCTCCAAGTGGAACATCTCCATCTATGGAACACCTCCAAGTGGAACATCTCCATCTATGGAACACCTTCAAGTGGAACATCTCCATATATGGTACACCTCCAAGTGGAACATCTCCATATATGGTACACCTCCAAGTGGAACATCTCCATATATGGAACACCTCCAAGTGGAACATCTCCATCTATGGAACACCTCCAAGTGGAACATCTCCATCTATGGAACACCTCCAAGTGGAACATCTCCATATATGGAACACCTCCAAGTGGAACATCTCGATATATGGAACACCTCCAAGTGGAACACCTCTATATATGGAGCACCTCCAAGTGGAACACCTCTATATATGGAGCACTTTTAGTGGTACCATGTTCCACTTGCACAGGGTTTAATCATACTGCATCAATCGTTATAAATTCAAATTCTTTACTAGAGCTCATAAAATGTAAAATCTACATGTATAAACGATAAGGGCAAATTACTCTATAGCTTCCACTAAAATATACATCAGTAAACTACATAATAGTGGACATGTCATTAAAAGCATTTTATAGGATTTATGAAGAGAGCAAAGTATGGAAGCCAATGGCACTCTGAGGGTTAAACAAAACCAGATTGTGGTTTGATTGAATGACTAAATCACGAAGATTGATAAAATACCTTTATAACAGACCATTGTTTGTTTACCTTTCACAAATGGACACTCCAGACAAAGTGGTTTATTACCATAGAATATGTTATCAATACACATTACAGACATCCTATCATGCACTTTTAATCTGCTTGATATAAATGTAAATATCAACAGAAATGACTGTCTAGTAAATAAACATAACATAGTAACCACCTTTTTGTTTATTTCCATTATAACTTTCGCTTTGGTGTTTCCATAAAAATCACCTATTTGTATGCTACCATAAATCTACAAATTAGCATTTGATAATTGTCCAAAAAATGTTGCATATCCATACAATTTAGATATCTATTCCAATATAGTACAGATAAACTTACAAATAATTTAAATAGTTGGCACATAATGAGTAATTTTATGAAATCTCCCACTGTTCTAAAACTGAAACACTATAAAATGTCAAAAATAACAATAATTTCACAGCACACCCAACATGCATCTTTTAATATAGTAGAACAATGCATGCTGGGATTGGCATGCCTACTGTGAAACATAACAACTTAAGTAGAACAATGCATGCTAGGATTGACACGCCTACTGTGAAACATAACAACTTAAGTAGAACAATGCATGCTGGGATTGTTAAAAAATAGAACAATGCATGCTGGGATTGACACACCTACTGTGAAACATAACAACTTAAGTAGAACAATGCATGCTGGGATTGAAGGCCTACTGCAAATCATAACAACTTAAAACAATCATGCAGAAAAAATGAGTTAATACAAAATGTTCATTATACAACATATTGTATAAACTCCAAGGTATAAATATTTGAGAGTTGCCAATTGAATAGATGAGAATATACAGTATGTCCATGCAAAATATATTACAAATAAATTAATAATATAATATAATACATTTATATACACGAGGAGTATCATCCTTATATTCTACATATTATCCTGTATAAGATAAAGAGTTTCTTGTTATTTGTGTTAGTTTGGAAAATTATTAAAGACACACATTAGTAATTTAGGGATTAAAAGATAGTGCAAACATATTCTAAATAACAAGGTTGAACTCAAATAATATATATGTTGCAATCTGTAGCCTATATTCATGAATGTTGCAATTTTTAGCCTATATTCATGAATGTTGCAATTTGAAGCCTATATTCATAAATGCAGCAATTTGTAGCCTATATTCATAAATGTTGCAATTTGTAGCATATATTCATAAAGCCTTACATTCAAAGATGTTGCAAATTATGATAGCCTATATTCAAAAATGTTACAATTTACAGCAACTAGCCAGTTAATACACACAATCACACTGCCTACACATTCTCAGTACAATGCAGACAACACTCTGTATTGTATCATAGTTACTGTACTGTATTACACTGCACTGTATTGTACTGTATCATACTGTACTGTATTACACTGCACTGTATTGTACTGCACTATGCACAGTCATGTGTAAAACTCATTAATATTCTCCACACCAGAAAAACATCATGTTACAATTAGAAGCAATATACTGACAAGAGAAGCAGTATACTAACAGAAGCTGAAACAGAAAGTGAAAAAATGATTCTGATTAAATTCAACATATCTGCATGAACGTTTCAAGCTGTTAAAGATAGCATCAAGACATTTTTTTACAAATTACTTTTTTGGAGGGGGTAAAGCAGTGACTTCAGCTCGAGCTATCTTTGGTTAACTTTTTCGAAAGACAGATTTCGCTAAAATGAAGTTAATGGACTCTGATGTTTTACTGTGATTCATTACAGAAATATGTTTTAAAATATTCAAACGCACATGTATTGAAGTTCACCTTTTTACATTACTCAAAATTTATATTCACTCATTTTTTCAATGTCTGAGTTTTAACTTAATAAATTATGAAATCCTAAATGGTTTATTAGCTATAAAACATATTCACTTCAGTCAATTTTGTTTATCACAAGTAGTATGCCCTATAAATGATGCACATGAAATTCCCTCTGAAGTTCCTGCCATTTTGTATAAAATTCTCACAATTTACCAAGCATGAGTTGTAATGCGGTGAGAACTTGATCTTAGAGATAGCAGGTGAATAATCCTATCTTAAAATGATCAGTTTGTCTCACAAGAAATCCAGACCCAATCAATTCAGTCCTGACACAAGGGTTTTTATCTTGACACAAGAGAATCATTTTACTGATATAATTATTATCCACTGTTGAAAGGAACACCCCAGATTGAATGTTGCTAGCTAAAGACCAAGTCTTGAGTCAAGTATCTACCCCCTCCCCATTCTCTCTATTGTTCAGCGTTTGAAGATGAACATGGAGATGTGTATTGAGGGGGGGGGGGGTGGTGACACAGAAATTTGATCTACTGTTACCATGACCTTCCACAAATAGCCAGTAATTTTGAGAAAGCTTTGAGACAAGGATATGCTTCAGATTATTTCAATCCTGTTTGTTTTTGACTTAACATTTACACTGCTTGCTATCATATTCCTCGACAAAAAGCCAGTAAAGAATGAAACACATTGAGACTAGAGTCATAAGAATGACCTGTGTGGGATCAATGTCTCCAGTGTCTATAGCATTTAAGACACTGTCTTTATCCTTAATAGTGTCATCTTCCTGGCTAACACTGCCCCTCTGTTTGCAATTCTCACAGAGTTTTTGCTTGTGGGAACTAAGCTCCAGGCCTAGTTTGTCCTGGGAATTAATATCCTGGGGTACCTTATCCTGAGAATTAACGTCCCAGTGTAGGTTGTCCCTGGATCGCAGGTCTAGTGGGACAGTGTCCTGGTATATGTTGTCCTTCTGGTGTGTGAGTCCCTATTGGAGTAACGATTCTATACTTTGTTGCTTTCTCCGTGAAGATTTGGGGCGTTTTGACGCTGTTTTCGGTCGCCCGGATTTCGATGTTTTCGGTTTTATTGGTTCCCCTGGGCAATTTGTGTTATAACTGAGGTAGACATTGGAGAGATCAAAGTCAACCTGGAAATAGATTTATATTCAAAATTTCTATTTTGCCTGGTTCGTTATATTCCATACAGCATTTCTCCCTACAATCTTATAATCCAGTTTCTTATTTTCTAACCAAATAATTTTCATGACATGTGTGTGGAAAAAATGTCTGCCTCGATGTAATTTTTTACATTCTACTGAAGGAGTCATCTTATTTCCATAAGCTGAGAATATTCCTCAGTCATTATGTTCTATGAGGATAGGTATGAAGTCTGATGAAGTAAAATGGCAACTACTTGATGGATGCAAACAACTATCCTAAAATTGGTAAGGTCAGTATTCTGGTACCAGGCTAAATATGAGTGCCTAGGCCTGTATAGTTTCACCTTGAACATTCTCACCCCTGCCATGTAAAACTACTCACCTTTTCTTTCTCTTTCTCTGGCATTGGAGTTTGTTTCCTCATGTTATTGCCAGTGTATGCTACACACTTCAACTGCCACTCACCAATGTCCTCATTCCAGTGGACATACTGCTCTATCATTTCCTAGAATATAAGAAACACTCAATTGAATTCTCTGACATAACAGCAAGGACTTTGTTTCCTCATATTATTGCCAGTGTATGCTACACACTTCAACTGTCACTCACCAATGTCCACATTCCAGTGGACATACTGCTCTATCATTTCCTAGAATATAACAAACACTCAATTGAATTCTCTGACATTACAGCAAGGAGTTTGTTTCCTCATGTTATTGCCAGTGTATGCTACACACTTCAACTGCCACTCTCCAATGTCCTCATTCCAGTGGACATACTGCTCTATCATTTCCTAGAATATAAGAAACACTCAATTGAATTCTCTGACATTACAGCAAGGAGTTTGTTTCCTCATGTTATTGCCAGTGTATGCTACACACTTCAACTGCCACTCTCCAATGTCCTCATTCCAGTGGACATACTGCTCTATCATTTCCTAGAATATAAGAAACACTCAATTGAATTCTCTGACATTACAGCAAGGAGTTTGTTTCCTCATGTTATTGCCAGTGTATGCTACACACTTCAACTGCCACTCGCCAATGTCCTCATTCCAGTGGACATACTGCTCTATCATTTCCTAGAATATAAGAAACACTCAATTGAATTCCCCGACATTATATACAGCAAGGAGTTTGTTTCCTCATGTTATTGCCAGTGTATGCTACACACTTCAACTGCCACTCTCCAATGTCCTCATTCCAGTGGACATACTGCTCTATCATTTCCTAGAATATAAGAAACACTCAATTGAATTCTCTGACATTACAGCAAGGAGTTTGTTTCCTCATATTATTGCCAGTGTATGCTACACACTTCAACTGCCACTCACCAATGTCCTCATTCCAGTGGACATACTGCTCTATCATTTCCTAGAATATAAGAAACACTCAATTGAATTCTCTGACATTACAGCAAGGAGTTTGTTTTCTCATGTTATTGCCAGTGTATGCTACACACTTCAACTGCCACTCACCAATGTCCTCATTCCAGTGGACATACTGCTCTATCATTTCCTAGAATATAAGAAACACTCAATTGAATTCTCTGACATTACAGCAAGGAGTTTGTTTCCTCATGTTATTGCCAGTGTATGCTACACACTTCAACTGCCACTCACCAATGTCCTCATTCCAGTGGACATACTGCTCTATCATTTCCTAGAATATAAGAAACACTCAATTGAATTCCCCGACATTACATACAGCAAGGAGTTTGTTTCCTCATGTTATTGCCAGTGTATGCAACACACTTCAACTGCCACTCACCAATGTCCTCATTCCAGTGGACGTACTGCTCTATCATTTCTTAGAATATAAGAAACACTCAATTGAGTTCTCTGACATTAAAGCAAGGAGTTTGTTTCCTCATGTTATTGCCTGTGTATGCTACACACTTCAACTGCCACTCACCAATGTCCTCATTCCAGTGGACATACTGCTCTATCATTTCCTAGAATATAAGAAACACTCAATTGAATTCTCTGACATTACAGCAAGGAGTTTGTTTCCTCATGTTATTGCCAGTATTACTACACACTTCAACTGCCACTCGCCAATGTCCTCATTCCAGTGGACATACTGCTCTATCATTTCCTAGAATATAAGAAACACTCAATTGAATTCTCTGACATTACAGCAAGGAGTTTGTTTCCTCATGTTATTGCCAGTGTATGCTACACACTTCAACTGCCACTCTCCAATGTCCTCATTCCAGTGGACATACTGCTCTATCATTTCCTAGAATATAAGAAACACTCAATTGAATTCTCTGACATTAAAGCAAGGAGTTTGTTTCCTCATGTTATTGCCAGTGTATGCTACACACTTCAACTGCCACTCTCCAATGTCCTCATTCCAGTGGACATACTGCTCTATCATTTCCTAGAATATAAGAAACACTCAATTGAATTCTCTGACATTAAAGCAAGGAGTTTGTTTCCTCATGTTATTGCCAGTGTATGCTACACACTTCAACTGCCACTCGCCAATGTCCTCATTCCAGTGGACATACTGCTCTATCATTTTCTAGAATATAAGAAACACTCAATTGAATTCTCTGACATTACAGCAAGGAGTTTGTTTCCTCATATTATTGCCAGTGTATGCTACACACTTCAACTGCCACTCGCCAATGTCCTCATTCCAGTGGACATATTGCTCTATCATTTCCTAGAATATAAGAAACACTCAATTGAATTCTCTGACATTAAAGCAAGGAGTTTGTTTTCTCATGTTATTGCCAGTGTATGCTACACACTTCAACTGCCACTCACCAATGTCCTCATTCCAGTGGACATACTGCTCTATCATTTCCTAGAATATAAGAAACAATTGAATTCTCTTCCTCTGGCATTGGAGTTTGTTTCCTCATGTTATTGCCTGTGTATGCTACACACTTCAACTGCCACTCTCCAATGTCCTCATTCCAGTGGACATACTGCTCTATCATTTCCTAGAATATAAGAAACACTCAATTGAATTCTCTGACATTACAGCAAGGAGTTTGTTTCCTCATGTTATTGCCAGTGTATGCTACACACTTCAACTGCCACTCACCAATGTCCTCATTCCAGTGGACATACTGCTCTATCATTTCCTAGAATATAAGAAACAATTGAATTCTCTTCCTCTGGCATTGGAGTTTGTTTCCTCATGTTATTGCCTGTGTATGCTACACACTTCAACTGCCACTCTCCAATGTCCTCATTCCAGTGGACATACTGCTCTATCATTTCCTAGAATATAAGAAACACTCAATTGAATTCTCTGACATTACAGCAAGGAGTTTGTTTCCTCATGTTATTGCCAGTGTGTGCTACACACTTCAACTGCCACTCTCCAATGTCCTCATTCCAGTGGACATACTGCTCTATCATTTCCTAGAATATAAGAAACACTCAATTGAATTCTCTGACATTAAAGCAAGGAGTTTGTTTTCTCATGTTATTGCCAGTGTATGCTACACACTTCAACTGCCACTCGCCAATGTCCTCATTCCAGTGGACATACTGCTCTATCATTTCCTAGAATATAAGAAACACTCAATTGAATTCTCTGACATTACAGCAAGGAGTTTGTTTCCTCATGTTATTGCCAGTGTATGCTACACACTTCAACTGCCACTCACCAATGTCCTCATTCCAGTGGACATACTGCTCTATCATTTCCTAGAATATAAGAAACACTCAATTGAATTCTATGACATTACAGCAAGGAGTTTGTTTCCTCATGTTATTGCCAGTGTATGCTACACACTTCAACTGCCACTCTCCAATGTCCTCATTCCAGTGGACATACTGCTCTATCATTTCCTAGAATATAAGAAACACTCAATTGAATTCTATGACATTACAGCAAGGAGTTTGTTTCCTCATGTTATTGCCAGTGTATGCTACACACTTCAACTGCCACTCTCCAATGTCCTCATTCCAGTGGACATACTGCTCTATCATTTCCTAGAATATAAGAAACACTCAATTGAATTATATGACATTACAGCAAGGAGTTTGTTTCCTCATGTTATTGCCAGTGTATGCTACACACTTCAACTGCCACTCGCCAATGTCCTCATTCCAGTGGACATACTGCTCTATCATTTCCTAGAATATAAGAAACACTCAATTGAATTCTCTGACATTAAAGCAAGGAGTTTGTTTCCTCATGTTATTGCCAGTGTATGCTACACACTTCAACTGCCACTCACCAATGTCCTCATTCCAGTGGACATACTGCTCTATCATTTCCTAGAATATAAGAAACACTCAATTGAATTCTCTGGCATTAAAGCAAGCAGATTCTGCCATTATAATACTCATCATAATTCTCTGTTTCACTAGCAAATGAGGAGGGAAGATCCCAGAATTCATTGATGATGCTAGCTCTATGTGAAGATGAACATCTGAAGTTTCATCTTTTTATGATCATGTATGAATTCTGGGGTATCACCCCTCTTCACTAGCAACATACCCAGATATCATGAAGCCTCTTTTTAATCCAAATTCATGCTATGGGAAGTGTTACAACTGTCCATAAGTGTGATGGTTATCATATGTTAAATTGCCTGTTTAATCTCTGTACATCACATAATAGGCATTTTAATCTATTGTCACTGTGCACCAAGATGTTTAATTTACACCAAATTAAAAACAAGATCCAGACAATTGAAATGTACTTTTAGTGTCTTTTTCTGTACTAATTATAATTAATCAAATTAATGTAGGAAAATCTAATCTATTTATCAAACACCTTAATTCATGCCCTTATATTAGTTAATCACAAGTAACCAGTAGTGAAATTTATTAACATTGCACATTCTGATGGAGGTAGACAGGTTTATACACATGATGGTACATGCATGACATTGGCATATCACATTACCTGATATTCTGGGGGTATAAACTAGTAATCAGTAGTGAAATTCATTAACATTGCAGGAGGTAGACAGGTTTATACACATGATGGTACACGCATGACATTGGCATATCACATTACCTGATATTCTGGGGGTATGAACTAGTTATCAGTAGTGAAATTCATTAACATTGCAGGAGGTAGACAGGTTTATACACATGATGGTACACGCATGACATTGGCATATCACAGTACCTGATATTCTGGGGGTATGAACTAGTAATCAGTAGTAAAATTCATTAACATTGCAGGAGGTAGACAGGTTTATACACATGATGGTACACGCATGACATTGGCATATCACAGTACCTGATATTCTGGGGGTATGAACTAGTAATCAGTAGTAAAATTCATTAACATTGCAGGAGGTAGACAGGTTTATACACATGATGGTACACGCATGACATTGGCATATCACATTACCTGATATTCTGGGGGTATGAACTAGTTATCAGTAGTGAAATTCATTAACATTGCAGGAGGTAGACAGGTTTATACACATGATGGTACACGCATGACATTGGCATATCACAGTACCTGATATTCTGGGGGTATGAACTAGTAATCAGTAGTAAAATTCATTAACATTGCAGGAGGTAGACAGGTTTATACACATGATGGTACACGCATGACATTGGCATATCACATTACCTGATATTCTGGGGGTATGAACTGGTCAATGATGACCATCTGCAAGCGTAGCTCTCTACTCAGCTGTCTTACATTCTCTAGCAAGCCTTCCATCTCTCTCTGGTGTTCCTGCTGTATGTCTGCTATCTACAATAACATTTTCAGTGGCTTTAATAAACATGGAATATGGATAAATATAATATAATGACGAAAACTGGCTGAAGGCAGAGTCAATCATTTACTGTACTTCTACTAAATTTGGCGCTACTTATTTTGATAGATTTGGTGTTTTGAGAATTTGGTGGCTACATAATTTGGCTGATTTAAACAATTTTCAGATTTATAAGCTTGCAATATCTCAATCTTACCTCTGATTTTGCCTGCATCAACATGGTCCAAACTTTCTTTAACTTTTTTGTTTTCCCCGCTACTTCCTCTTGTAGAGTTGAGTACTTCTCTTCTATTTCTATTTTCTCTTGCTGGAGTAAAAAGAAAAAATGTTTTCATTGAACTGAAATATCAAGATTATTATAAATATAAAATGAAATGCACTCATATTATACAGAGCATATAAAATATGATTTTCTATTTTAAAATGCACAAGGTTTCTTTGTGCCTCTGAACAATTCACCAAATTATAAGTTCGGCAATGATTTTATTTAGGAAAATAATGCACTGGGGTTGGGATATTATGATATTTCAAAAAATGTAGTCTAGTATGGTACAAGATGATATTTAATGCCGAAAGACAATTTATCCCAACCATATTTACTCATTTCAGCCTATGAATTAAACAGATCTACTAAAAGTCTAAAATAAGTTCCAAGTTTTATCTCCAAATCATTCTCTTCACCTCTTTCTCCTGTAATTGTTTCCTCATATTCTCCTCACGCTGTCTCCTCTCATCAAGTTCTTTGGCACTCTCTTCTAACAGCCTCTCCTGCTCCTCAGCCTTGTCTAACAAGTTCTCACCTCCCACTATGATCTTCTTCTCCACCTGAGCAAGCTTCTGAGCCAAGGCTGCCTGCTCATCTCTGGAACAATCAGTATACAGTTTTATCAACTATTTACATTAATCATTTACATAGATGGGTAGATAATCCTCCAAAAGACCTTACTTAGAGACTATTGCTAAAGATGGCTGAATCCAAATGAGTCATATGAGAAACATGCATCAAAGCACAGTTTTCTTTTTTAGGAGTTTTTGTAAAAGTGACTTTTGCATCTCAATCAAAAATATTTTTACATGTATATTTCAGAATGGAGATGGCTGTATGGGGCTGATTCAGTTATCTATATGAGAAAAAAGGGGCTACATACTGTGCATGTTTCAGCTTAGATTCTTTCTCCTCCAAGTCAGCTTTTACTTTGTTTCTTTCTTCTTCCTCCATGTCAACCTTGGACTCCAACATCTTCCTATCTGCTTCAATCTTAGCTTGGATCTCTGTCATCTTTTCCTTGGATAACTTGCCACCTTCTGGAATGATTGAATAATTCACATAGAAATACATAGTAAAGGTAATAAGAATTTTTTAAAAGTGTTGCCCTTAAGATACATTTTCAAGTCATCATTTACAAAATGCTAAAAAAGCTGAATATCATGTCCATCTTACTTTTCCCTTTCTTTTTCTTGATTTTCTTCTTCCTTATCTTCTGTCCATCAGCATCCACTCCAGCCTCCTCATCTGTTTCATATTCAGAACTCTCCTCCTCTTCAGATCCAGAACCTGCAGATATTTATGTACATGTCATATGTACTACTCAACTAGATTGTGTCTCCCATTCCTTTATATTTGTGTAATGTACTAGACTTCATCTCACATTCACTTTTCTAATTGATCACCTCAAAAAATAGGCAAAGAATCTTAATATTTCATGAATACACACAATTTGATTTAAGATGCACTCTGGGTTTAACAGACAAAAGTGGAAATACGAGGCACTCCTTTTTGAATACCATAATACCTATACAAATTGTCCTCCCTCTTGCATCACATTCTAACTCCTCTACTCTTTCTTTCCATGTTCCCTACCTGACACGCCATAATTCCTCCCTCATATCCCACTGACTTTAACTGAAAATCAACTGTCCCTACCTGACACTACATTGCTCAACATGGCACCTAATTGTCCCTACCTGACACCCCACTGTCCCGCATTGAAATCCCTCTGCCCCTATGATGACACCCAATTGTCCCTACCTGACACCCCACTGCCATTACCTGACACCCCTCTGCCCCTGACACCCAACTGGCCATACTTTACACCTCACTGCCCCTACATGACACCTAATTGTCCCTTCATGACATCCCTTCGCCCCTACGTGACACCCCTCTGTCCCTACCTGATACTCCACCATCCTCCAACTGTTGCTTCAACAGTTCAATCTCCTTCTGGAACTGCCTCAGTAGAGCATCTTTGGGATCCTCATTGATCTTAGCACTGTTCTTAATATTCTTTGCACGATTAGCATAACGTAGCGTACTGATAGTTTCATCATAATTGTAATCTGCAGGACCACAGTTGGCACACTAGAACAAACAGGAGCGAATGTAACCCAAAATGACACCTATGAATGAATACTTGTATAAAATCGACCAAGGTGAAATTAACTTTTCAAAGTTCAAAAGTTCTCTAGTTTCTCTAACAATCATCAATTGACCTTGGAGCTTTCACTGGAATCACATTAAAATGGTAGAAAAAAGGTAGAGATAATAGAGATACAAAAATATGATGCATTATGCAATAATTTTCAAGAGATCCAAATCTTACCATGACTGTTTTAGAGTTGCCACCTAATGAATCCTGTAGGAGTCGAGTCAACTTGGAATTTCTGTATGGAATGTGACTACTCTTGCCATCAACAAGAGCTGAGATGACATTACCCAAAGTAGAGAGAGACAGGTTGATCTTTGTCGCTTCTTTCAGACGCATACCCGTGGCTCCTGTCTTTGCTTGCCGTTCAGAACCCTAAAAACAGATTGATTAAGTTTTTTCTTTCTCAACCTGTACCTTCTGAACTATGAGACAGAACAAGTTGGATATAGAAGAGTGGTTAAGTGTCTTTTCAATTTCTTGAATGGGATATGATTTTTATGATTTTATTTTTGGAACACATTGTGGTTCAGTAGGAAGTCCACATAGTTCTTGCCAAAAATGGCATATTAAAAGAAATGCTTGACGATCTCTTTCGCCATTATATTCAGTATAATTTTCAAAGTTGATTTGTAAGATTAACTAGCAACTTACAGCAAGATCAACCAAGTGAAGTTTTCCAACTCTGACATGTTGGTTCCCATCTGGTCCTTTCTCACTGCATTCTATGGTTACTGTGAATATAGCATGAGACCGGGAACTGGTTGCATTCATATTTGTTGCTCCAACTTGCCCTATGAAAGAAACAAGACACACAGGGATAAATATGGCACTTTAAAGAGTAAAATGGCTGCCATGTTATTTACCCAGCATGCCCAAAACCGAATCAGATTTTGGCACTAGTCTGCTCTTGCATCTGTAAAAATTTCGAGTTGAAGAGGTTAGCGTTTTCTCTAGAATTTTGATTACAAGAGTAGATTCGTAGTCTGAAACTTTGAGAAACAAGTGCAAAATGGTGGCCATGTGATTAACCAGCATGCCCAAAACCTAATCAGATTTTGGCACTAGTCTGCTCTTGCATCTGTAAAAATTTCGAGTTGAATGGACAAGCAGTTTTCCTGAAATTTTGATGACAATATAATGTGGCGCCCAATCAAAACCCAGCGGCACATTAAAAAACAACAATATAGCAAGATATATGTGATATGAGAAAAACATTCATAGACTCCATTGTCACCATGAACAAAGTTTTTGACCAGGAACTGGAACTTTTAGTGAGCAATATAAAACATTATGCACATAGATATAGAAATCAAAACTACATCGCTTTGCTTTACTCTATAAATAAATATCTTGAACAACATAATGTTTGATGTTATAATATGTGGCTTACTATTTTTATTTCCAAGAGTCATGATTCTGTCCATGTCATCAGCATTGTTAACAACGAAGGCTGAGAGATCTTTAACATACACACCAACATCTGGCCTTTCTTTCACCTAAAGCATTAAACATATACTTGAAATTTTACTTCTCAGAAATAACTTTGTAATGTTATCACCTCAAAATGACTGCAGTAAAGCTGTAGGTCACCTGAGCTTAATCTGTACAGTTACCACTATTAAGAGGTGTCTCTTTCATGGCCTTAACATGCAAAATATCACCACCTGCCATTTGTTAGACACAGAATGCCAACAACACAACACCTTAAATAGGAGACTATAACTATTAGTGCAGTCAGAATGAGAGTTTAGGCGTGCGTTCAGAGGGATTTTATGGGACATAATTTTTCATGTTGCTAGTATGATTTTACATATTTGTATGAACTATTAGGTCTTAGTTTTTCAGCTTTTAGATTTTATGGCCATTTTACCCCCCATGGGCTATAATTTGGACCCCTACTATAAAATTGGGCTTGAACTCCAAAAATACTCAGTGGGATGTATCCAAATTACTTGGATATATTGGTATGGGCTAAATGAATATATGATAAAAATTTCATGTCACATGGTTAAGCGGTTGCCATGGAAACAGATAAAACAAACCCTTCAGGTGTTGATTTTCAGGCCATTTTTCAGAAATGATAGAGTCATTTCATGCATATTTTGTCACCATTGTGTTAGGAAGGGTTAAAGTATGAATAGAAAACTTCTATAATATATTAGCAACAATCTTATATAAAGATTAGTCCACAGGATTTCAGATTTTGGCCTTATGTTGGTCCATGATTTATACAGGGGTCTATTTCACAGTCTCGAACCCCCACATTAGATGGATGCTATAACTTTTGAAATAATGGAGATACACGTCTCATTTTTTCAGATCTTCATAAATGGTTGGTTTTAAGTATTGTATTATACTTTGGGAGCTGGTATGTGATTGGTTGCTATGGTAACCAAGGTTTTATGGAAATTCGGACCCCCACATTGGATGGATGCTATAACTTTTGAAATAAGGGATATATGTGTCTCATTTTTTCAGATCTTAGACAATGATTGATTTTAAGGATTGATTCAGACTTTGGGAGCTGGTATTTGATTGGTTACCATGGTAATCAGGGTTTTGTTGAATTCAGACCTCCACAATTGATAAACGCTATACTTATACAGGCAGATACAAATATCATCTTTTCAGATATAATATAATAATAAAATGTGTATATTGTATAAGACTTTGGAAGTTAGGATTTACTTGGTTGCCATGGTAACCATGTTTCATTTTCATGGTAACTGCCGTTTTTGTTTTTAGATTCAACTTCATTCTAGATATGTATATACATGATATAAAATACCAAATTGCCATTTTATTCTTAATTTTTGATTTTTTTCTAATATATATGATTTACATGCTCATGACTCATTAATACTGGAGAGGCAAAAATTGTTTGGCTCATAAAATCAAGTACTAGTAAACAATACATGTATATTTATATCTATTGCCTCATTCCATACTACTAGTTCTCACAAATATTCTGACTCCTAACTTGTTCATTTTTACTCATCATTACTGTTTTCATTTTGCACAATTGCCTCTTGATTTAAATATCAACCGTTTCTGTTGGAATGAAGGCTTGTTTTGACCATTCTGGAGTTGAGGATCCTCAGGGGATTAAGTACATTCATGCAGTATTGGGCTTGGCAGAATGGGTTAAGACTTGTCCCTGGGGGTTCACTGTATATAAAATTTGGCTGGGGTTCTAGGCTGAACCCTCAGATATCAATATGTTCCCATACCAATCTGTTAAATTTGAATGTATTTCCATACCAACCAAAGTAATGCCCAAAAGTCATACCAAATGCCCAAATATAGGATCAATGAAATATCAAATATCCAGATATAAAAACATGGCCATTCAAAATGTCTAATGCCCTGAGAAGAAGGCAGACCTTTGAGGAAAACAACCAAAAAAAAACAACTTCACATTATAAAGGATATATACTAGACCAATGCCATACCACAAGTGAGGGGTAACATATTTTCCAAGACCATTCTCATACCAGTAAGTGCCATACTTCAAGTCATAATTTGGATGGCATTCTCATATCAGATCTTAAAAGGAGAAGAGTCACTATGTAGAGCTTTCTAGAAGCACACAACTATTTTATTCTGGAAGTGATGAATGAAACTTTAAAATACTTTTAGAAATGAGGTGAATTCAGGGATCCTGATGTATAATTCCATGGTCTGGTTGAAAGCCCATGATAATTCTCAAATTATTAAAACATGGGTTTGTAGAACGTTTTTTTGTGAAGAGTTCATCATTGGCTCCAAAGTAATTCATTGCATTGCATTAGCTGCTCTGTAGAATATCTTCCACCTTGTAATGATTGCTCACTCCAACATTTAGGATTTGTCATTCATCCGCTTCAAATTTCTATATTGTTTCCTATTATGAAGAAAACAACTTTAAGAACCTCAACTGATGTGAACTCTGTCCCATTAGATGTCAGAAGCTCAACCAAACCTCTGTAGCTGCAAACTTAGAACGAAGTACTGTGTGAAGCTATATTAGCCTTCAATGTGTTACTGGATCTGAATGATGAGGGCAGTACTGTTTTGGAGAATATCTTATGTGGAACAGCTCATATCGTAATTTATTGATGTCAGTTACAAATGTATTTTTGTAATTCTGCTGTTCTTTTGCAGGTGAACGATTCAACTTTAGATTTTATTGTTACTGGATCTGAACAAAAGTAAAATAAATCAACTGAAACTGAAGACAAACAATTCTTAAAGTTGTTTTCTTCATTAGGAAACAATATAGAAATTCCTGATACCATAAAATCCAAAGTTGAATTGTTCACCTGCAAAAGTACAGCTGAATAACTGCCACTAATAGATTACGAGATGAGCTGTTTCACATGAGATACTTGTATTCTCAAAAACAGAACAGTGCTGCCCTCACTTATGAAGGTGTTGACATTTCAACTCTTTCACATTTGAAGAGGGTGAATTATCTGTGTATGGAAACCTGTGTATGGAAACATTCCCACCAGCCTAAACCCAGCTCTACCAAGCCAAACACTGCATGATTGAATTATGAATTCCCCAAGGAATCCTTAACACCCCAATGGTCAAAAGAATCCTTCCTTGTTGAAATTTTTGATATTTTAAATTAAGAGACCATTGTGGAAGATGATGGGTATAAGATGATATAATGATGAGTAAAAACAAGTGAGGAGTAGAATATGTGTGAGAACTAGTAGAATGGAATGAGGCAATACTGTTAGACATACATGTAAAATGAAAATTTTGCGTTTTATGTTGTGTCTTGACCATTCTCAAATGAAGGTAAATATGAAATCAAAAATGAAGTTTCCATGACAATGAAACATGGTTACCATAGCAACCAAGTAAATTGTAACCTCCAAAGTCTGACACAATACACAAGTCTAATCATCTTTTAAGTTCTGAAAAGCTGATATCTGTATATGCTTGAATTCAAAAGTTATAGCATCTATCAATTGTGGAGGTCTGAATTTCAATTAAACCGTAGTTACCATGGTAACCAATCAAATTTCAGCTATCTAAGTCTGATTTAATTCTTAAAATCAATCATTGTCTAAGATCTGAAAAAATGAGACATCTATCACCCTTATTTCAAACGTTATAGCATCCATCCAATGAGGGGGTCAGAATTTCCCTAAAACCCTGGTTACCATGGCAACCAATCATATACCAGCTCCCAAAGTATGATACAATACTTAAAACCAGCCATTAACGAAGATCTGAAAAAATGAGACCTGTATCTCCCTTATTTCAAAAGTTATAGCATCCACCCAATGTGGGGGTTCGAATCTGTGAAATGGGCCCCTGTATAAATCATGGACCCATATAAGGCTAAAATCTGAGATTCTGTGGACTGATCTTTACATAAGATTGTTGCTAACATATTATAGATGTTTTCTATTCACACTTCAACCCTTCCTAACACACTGGTGACAAAATATGCACAAAATGACTCTATCTTTCCTGAAAAATTGGCCTGAAAATTGACACACGAAGGGTATGTTTTATCCATTTCCATGGCAACCACTTAACCATGTGACTTGTAATTTTTATCATATATTTATTTAGCCAATATCAATATACCATAGCAATTTGAAAACATTCCACTGAGTATTTCTTGAGTTCTTGCCTAATTTTATAGTAGGGGTCCAAATTATAGCCCATGGGGGGTAAAATGGCCACAAAATCTAAAAGCTGAAAAGCTAGGACCTAATAATTCATACAAATATGTGAAATCATACCAGCAACATGAAAAATTATGTCCCATAAAATCCCTCTGAACGCACGCATTTAGGCTCATTCTGACTGCACTATATATGTTACTTCTGGTGGCTACATAAAGATGAACAGAATTTGTCGTAGATATTCTTTAAGCTTCAAAATGAGTCATTGATTGCAATAACAACTGACCTCAAGCCTCTGGTTTTGGTCCTTGCCCAGCAGATCACGAACCTCCTCATTGTAGATTTCCAGATATGAGACCCTCACAAGAAACCTTAAAGTACACAACATGATCATAATCATATATGATAGTCACATCAAACAAGTCATACATCACAATTTATGGAATTTATTCACTTCTAAATAACGACTTCAATATCCACTCATGGATAAATATGATATCCTATTTAGATCAAAGAATGTCACAATGTCACTGAGAAGCATTAGTTTTAAGTACAAGGAAGAACATAAAAAAAATTTGCGTGCCTACATTAAAACTTTAAATAGTTCAGGTCTACATTTAAGATTTTAAGTTGCAGCAAAGAATGGACAATTAAATGTAAAATTATGGATGCAACCCTTTCAAAAGGCAATCAGACATTTTTTTAGCAATCATAATTTTCTAATCTGAAAAATGGCAGTTAATTCAAATTAAAAATGCAGAAATGTTCTGAACTTGTCTCTGAGTCTTTGTTGCATCTTTTAAGTTAGGTCAGATTTTGAGTGATTCCTTATTCCATATTGATAGACGTGGTATGTTAAGCTAATATGCTTGTATTGACCACCATGCAAACACCTGAGCAAGCTTGAGCGACACCACTAGGTAGCATACTTCAATGACATACCTTTGAATTTTCAAATGAATTAAATTTATACATTCATTTTAAGCAAATATGGCTTGCATCCTAAAATGGAAATAAGGTTGTGTTGGTTATGAGTTGTACAATGCACAAGGTGGTTTGAGGCTAAGAGAGCGGACCATTTCATCTTAGGAATGTTTTTGCTAATTCTTTAACACATGGCATTAACATGCAAAATGTCACCACCTGCCATTTGAATGTCACCACCTGCCATTTGTTACAGACATTGACTGCCACACACAAAATGCTGAACACCAACCACCAAACACCAGCCATAAGGTTGGAGACTCTAATGTAACCATTTGTGATGGTGACATAATAATAATATTTATGGTTAAAGAATATTTATCTGGAAATGGTCAAGTCGCCAAAGATTCAATGGCCAGTCACCTAGTCTGAAATACAAAATTTGTAGTTATATAACTAAATCATAAAATAAAAGAGGGTGTTTAGCAACAAATCACATTGATCATTTCAGAATCCAATTTTAAACAAAAAAATGATTTTATGAGACGTGAGTAGTACATATGAAATTGCACTGAAACCTCAGCCGTGGAAAATAAATTGAAAAGCACTCTGGGATTCCAAAGCCTAAATTTGATGTTCGAGAAGATACAGCGATGCAAATTGACCAATCAGATGCTGATGCATGCCTATTTGTCGGTTCCTTGCCGATTCAACTCAACATGTTTGAAATCACAGTCTAAAATATGACCCTGATATATTTTTCCAAGGGTTAGAAGCAAAATATGAAACTAAACAACATTGTCCACACACAATGAAGCAGGTCTTGTGAAGACATTTGCATGCAACATCATTTACCATTTTGGCCCAAACCCCCCTGGGCTGTTAAAAAACCAAAACAAACAGATTGATATAAGAGTCTCATTTGTCTTGCATCGAGCCTCTGGTGATCCTAATATCCCCCGCCTACCACCTGTGTCATGAACCAGCGACAAGGAGGGGGATTTTAACACAGAGTCTTGTTGCAAGGCTTAACATAAGATCACATTTAATGGATTGAACATATCTATATCAAAGTTAGATGTCAGAGTCAGGTAGGTTTTTAAAGTAGATCTTGGTTTAGAGGTATAGTACACCTGTACCTGAGAATAAATTTAGAGCTTAAGATTATTCCCTCACAGCATTCAAACTTTTTTCTCTGCAAGTGACAAATCAATTGGTGTCTTTTATGAAAAATTCATTATGAATTAGTTTCAATCTGAAGGTGAATATTGTTTTCTAGATTATTCAGTATGTATCTTTCAGCTTTTGCAATGAATCATACACATCAAAACAATATAATATATCTGAAAATGATTTGTTTTGCCTACCTCGTGTCTCCTTCAGCCTTGGCAATGTGGCCAAATATGTGTGCGAATGAGTTGGGTATGATGCCTCTGAGCTCAGGTTGGGATCTCACACCCTCCATAGTAAATGTCTTTCCTGTTCCAGTCTGTCCATACGCAAATATAGTACCTAATCAATACAGAGAACATTTACAGCCAAGAGAATGTAGAGAAATATAGTCCAGAAATATAGTTAGATCAGTAAGTGGTACATCTTTCAGACATGTAGCCAGGGTTCTAGCCAACTCACTCCCCACCCAGGCCAAATATTCTTTCAAAACCATGCAGTTTTTCAGTTCTAAGCACATTTATAGTGATTTTTGGCCAAATATACTGAGATTAGAAGATAATGAATTGTATCTAGTTTAAACAAAAAAATATTGCACTGAGGAAGTGTTTTATGTATGCATTTAGTAAAAACTATCATAATTTTAAATTAAATCTTAATAGAAGTTGACATACCATTAAATCCTTCCAGAACACATTCCACAAGTGGTCTAGCGACTTCATTGTAAACGTCTACTTGTTTGCAGTCAGGGCCAAAGACCGTATCAAACGTGAATGTCTTGGGTGGCTCACCTTGGGCACCATTTGGATTTGTCACAACAGCCTGTCCTCTGACAGAATCAATCTAAAAAGAAAGTTGTTTTCACTTGTATTGAAACAAAAAGCTCTTAATTACAAAGTTTGCCATTTTCGGTGTATTGTAAATAGTACTGGGAGATAGATGAATGAATATAAGAACTGATTATTTTGATTTACTAAGATGGGGTCTTACCTTAACAGCCTGTTTACAATCACTCTGTTTCTCTTTTGAGTTCATAGGACGACATCTTACAACGACCCTAACAGAGTCACTTTCGCGTATGTTTTTACGTTCCTAGAAAACACAAAATATACAATCTTTTGATTAAGGAAATGTTAAATGTTATGAAAATAATACATTTCCCGAGAATCAATATTCCAAATATTACGATTTGTTCAGAAGATTTATCATCATTTCGTAGATTAAATAAAACTGACATATCTATGTTGTACTTGGACTGGAAACAAATGTGGTAGACAGTACTTATATTTTACAATTTTTTGTCCTGAAAGAATGTTGTACTGAACGATATATGCTGCCAAGACTTCTTGATATTCTACTAGATCACACACAGATTGCACGAGAATTTTTCTTTGCTTTGTTAATGGTGTCTTTCTTATAAATTAGCAGCTATCGAACGATGGAAATCTTCCAGAAATGCAAACTGTAGTACACTAAGTAGATTTTATAATGTTTATTCAGATATCAGTGCACCGCATAGCGGATCAGCGCATATTGTACATTGAAACAGCAGTGTGTTTCTTCTGGAATAAATCTACGTCAGGAGTAGCCTAGATAACTGGGCCAAACATCATGTTTAATGTGTTTGGGTACAGTTCACCAATCACCATGTTTGCAAATAGAGTCTACCACATTTTGCATAGGTTCAAATAAATGCATTTTACATTACTATATTTGCACATAGCCATCTTTTAGATAGATGGCTATGCAAAACTCGATATTCCCAATCCTTTATAAAGGTATTTTGGAAATTTGTAAGAAATCTTGGAAACATCTACTTCAATCGATGCATAACATTCTAAAATAAAGTTTTTCTAACCATATTGGGCTATCCAGAGTCGGGAAACAGCGTAATCGACGAAAAATGTTGAAGAGTCGATCATTTCCAAGATGGCTTCTCAGGAAGTTTGGTAATGTGCATGCACCTCCATGCCATGAGATTTTTTGTCGATTATACTGTCTCCCGACTCCAGCTAGCATTCTATGAATATTAAACTGATATTTTATGATGTTATACATCGATTGAAGTAGTGTAAGTGTTCCAACGATATCTTACATTTCTGTAAAAGACCTTTAACATGGACTTGGTATGTCAAGATATGCAAAGCTATCTCCCAAGAGATAGGCTACATGTAGCTTTGTGCAAACTACTACTTTTTTCATGGCCTGACTTCGTCGCTAACATGCTAAATATAAGAGTTAGCTGACGTTTGGGAGTCTGACTTACCTTCTAAAGGTTAGAACCCGAATCTTAATGAAACCATATCACCTTTGTCCCGTCCAACAGGTCTTACTCTATTAATCGACTAATACAGCAGACGGCTCATATTTCTACGTAGCATTTCGTTCAGACCAATAGTGGGACTGTAGATCACGCAGTTTCGTTTGTTGCGTACTTAACTTGAAATTGGTAATTTTTAATATTGGCTACTTCACCTAGCTTGGCGGATGTAGAACATTGCTTAATATTCTTTTAATTTTCACACCAGACATGCTTGGTTGACACGTCAACAAAGTAAAGTTCAAGGGTCACTGCGTTATTTCGAGATAACTACAACGCCTTCCCGGAAGTCAACATTGATGAAAAATGAAAAAGTCGGAAAAGCATTTACACTAATTTCTATCAAATGCTATGTATCATCATCGACGCAACAAAGGTAATATGGTTTCATTAAGATTCGGGTTCTAACCTTTAGAAGGTAAGTCAGACTTCCAAACGTCAGCTAACTCTTACATTTAGCATGTTAGCGACGAAGTCAGGCCATGAAAAAAGTAGTAAGTAACATTTTACATATGATACTAAAGTGTGGTCTTTTGGTTTTTAAGTTTGACTGACGATATGCCGAGTTAGCTCCTCTACTAACTGCATAATTATATTGATTCAAGAATTTGAAAATATTGAAAAAATCAACAAACAACAAAATCGAAAAAATGAAAAAAATAGCAGTGTCTTTGACAATCACAAACGTTAGAATATTTGTAGATTTTAGATCAGTTTAACACAAATAAGTGAGATAAAAACTCAATATATTTCTGAATACACTATTTATGTCACTTACCGGCATATTTATGAAACTATCGCTGTTTCTATCGATACTTTTTCATTCTTCTGAAAAATATTTGGAATTTATGCAGCTGCAGTGAATAATTTGGCGCTTTGGATTCATCAATAAATAGGTCATGACTCACCACATTGTAAACACAGTTTCATCTGAAAATCCAGCAGAGGTAATATTGCAATCAACCACAGGGACTGTACCAAATTAAGCTTGACAGTGGAAGGCGCGGGGTATGGTTACGGTACAACACGAGAGTGATGAAATTTGAGCAAACTGATGCAGTTGTCATCGTTTTAGAAAGATTGAATACTTTACAGATGCCAGAATTTTAAGATGTATTTTCTTAAAAAAATGCTGCCATCTGTGGCTAAATGTCTGTAAAAATATCACAGACAGTGGAGTTGACAGTGAATTTCATAGTTAGATCTAATCTACAAAAACTTTAAATGTATGTAGTGTACGGTATAATGCCCGGGTACATTCTGAGATACGGTAGATCTAGCCATCTAGCCGATAACACAAATTCAAATTCCTGTGTTGTACCATGCTTATCGTTACTGCGCGTTGGTTTAGTTAACTATGCAATTCACTGTCAAGTTCACTGTCTAGGATGTCGCTATATAGAAATATCTAGAAACTCCAGATCCTTTCTGAAACGATGATAACATCAGCTCAAATTTCATCACCCTCGTGTTGTACCTTATCCCGCGTGTTCAATTGTTAGGAGATTGGCACTGTTTACTTCCATAATTTTATCCCATTGATGCACAGACTTGAGTCAACGTTTCTTCAAACTTCACTTCCTAATAAATATGGAAGTAAGTTTCAAAAGAAACGTTGACTTAAATCTGTGCATTGATGTCACATACGTGTGTTGTAGACTGCCCATCACATGCACATAGTACAGTAGATCTAACGTAGCGCTGCAAGCTTGGACATTCTGGTGCTTGGACATAAAACAAAACATGGCGCCCATCGTTCTGATGTCATCTTTCTCCAAATTCATTAGACATATTGCAGTTTTTGGTCATCAAAGGGTGGCACAAACAGAATTAGTGAAAAACATTAGCACTTCATCTTTTATTCGACACAGTTTATCGGGGTATAACAGGCTATGGCGCAGACGAGCTATTTTAACCGGAATAGGGTTGGCAGTGTCTGGCGCTGTTTACAATCTTGCACCGTCTGCTACAGAGACATTGAAATTAAGCAACGTTCTTGGCCATCTTCCTTTTGTATGCGCAGCCACACCAGTCTCTGATGATGATAAACCATCTAAACGTTTCAATTACATCGCTGATACAGTAGAGAAGGCTATACCAGCTGTTGTTTACATTGAAATACAAGGCAAGCACCCATACAGTGGCCAGAATGTGCAAACCTCAAATGGATCTGGATTTATAGTACGTGAAAATGGCCTTATTCTGACAAATGCCCATGTAGTTGCAAACAAACAAGTTGTCAAGGTGAAGCTGAATGATGGCAGAGTATTTGATGGTTATATACAAGCGGTAGATCCTATCTCGGATCTTGCGACTATTAGAATTAATGCGGATAACTTGCCAGTCCTCAAGCTAGGAGAATCTTCATCTCTTAGACCAGGAGAATGGGTGATTGCTATGGGCAGTCCTTTATCACTTAGTAACACTGTCACCGCAGGCATAGTCAGTACTGTACATAGGGGAAGCAAAGAACTGGGCTTGAACCATAAGGACATGGAGTACATTCAAACTGATGCTGTTATCACATTTGGCAACTCTGGAGGTCCACTTGTTAACCTGGACGGAGAAGCAGTTGGTATCAACACAATGAAAGTCACCACAGGAATATCGTTTGCGATCCCTGCAGACTACGCAAAGAAATTCTTAGAGAAGGCGTCACTTTTGGAGAAAAGATCCGAATCTAAAGGCAGTTGGTTTAGTGGAAAGAAGAACATTGTAGGAAGACGGTATATGGGCATAACCATGCTCACGCTAACCCCATCTATTATCATGGAACTGCAACAGCGAATGGATGGTGATTTCCCCGATGTAAAGCATGGTGTATGGATTCATAAAGTGGTGATAGATTCTCCTGCATACAATGGAGGCATACGACCTGGTGATGTCATTACAAAGATAAATGGAGAAGATGTAAAATCGGCCAAGGATGTGTATGATGCTGTGAAGGGCACTGACCAGAAGCTACACATCACAATAATAAGAAATTCAAGGTCTAGCACTGTCACTGTTGTACCAGAAGATGTATCTTAAATTGACTTTCTGTGATGTCTATGGTGACATGAGTGATGGTGAATAATACAAAACAGAAATGATACAAAACTTAAAGTATTGTAAAATATTTGATATTCAAATCATGAAATGATGGATCAGATTAAAGATGTTATTAAGGATAAAGATGTAAGAAGAGTTGTAAAATCGAAAGTGATTGAAATTATAGTCGAATACAATAAAAATGATAAAGAATTGGTTATGTTCTGCATCTTCTTACTTACACTAAAGCTTTCTAGAAATGTGCAGTTTGATGATCTATCTTCAGTTTGAAAAAATGATTGGTTATTGCTATCAGCTATTGAAATGGACTATAATTCATTCCTACATGGTCATCATTCTTGTTATTCACGTTTAGGCCTACGAAATTAGAATTGTCCATTTGTTTCTGTAAGAGACATAATCAGTACTGTAAGTTTTTCGTTCAATCAATGATGATAATTAGTATAACATGATGTCAGTCATCTGGTCATAGATCAATGAAACGGGAGCACATCTCACCATGAAGAAAGGATCTTAGGATGATGGAAGGCTATTGCCCACTCTTGTTGCCCACAAGAAACCAAGGTTTACCAGTTTCCTAATACAGGGACAATACAAATCAAATGGCTTATTGGATATGAATTTCATCAATGTGATTATAATATCTGGTGTTTTCTTGATTCTAGAATAACACAACAGTTGTAAATGAATAACAGGCATTAACAGCTGTCATTTGTTACAGATGCCGAACAATGAACAACCACAAAACAGTTGGAGACAGTAAGAATATATCACCACTTGTGGTGGTGACATAATAGTGAGTGGAGTGTGAAGAGAGCACTTCAACATGTTTGTTCATCCAACTTTGTACCAATCATGGAATACAAGACCTTTCCAATAAACCCTGCCACTGCTTGGAACATCAAAGAAGCAATGATACATTGGCTAGATTGATGATGTTGTTGGTTGTACCTTTTCAAAGTTAGCAAGAAGTTAATTCTATTTATAATCAGACTGCTACATTCAAATAATAGGGAGTTTAAGTTACATAAGTTTTTGCATATAAAATCTAAACACCAACCTATACGTATGACCAATAGCCCATACAAATGCATCGCTTAAATATTTTCTCTTCACATCTAGGTTGTGAAAAACATTGCAAGCTTAATCTCCCTAATAACCACATCAACCTAGCCAATATAGCTTCTTTGATTTGCAGAAAGATGGCACGTTTATTGAAAAGGCCTATTCAATTATTAGCCTAAATGGATGGAAAGAAGTTGTAGTTTTTGTTCAATTAATATCACTTTAAATTAAATATATATGACAAAACAAATGATTAAATTTTTCTAAAAAATAGTTTTATTTATTTTGATACAATACACTGTTCAAGTCTACATATGATTAAAACGGAGTATAATGCTATAGAGTATACTAAAACTACTAACTTAAATATTTATTCAAATATGAAAAGATAAGAATGCAATAATATACACATGTACAGGTAATACAAAATGGACCAATAATCTAATCTGACCTCTGAGTTCACAATGTTAAAACCAAACTTATTTCCAGCTTTTACAAATCAATGGAATTTTTTTTTTCTTTTTTGACTCCCTTGTATTGTACACTTTATCAAAAGTACAACCGGCTAATGGTTTAATAGAGTATAAATTATTGAATGATTTGAAGTGCAATAGCCTACAGGATATATTCTGCTCGAGAAATTCTGTATTGAAACGAGACGAAGTCGAGTGGCATTACCGAATATCAAGACCAAATATATTCTGTATTGCACTTCAAATCATTCAATAACGTTTTTATCGTGTGATCCTCTGTATTGCTACTGAGATTGTCCCCTCCGTACCAATATTTTCTGAATTGCGACAGAGATGATCAACAGGGACAATCTCAGTACAGTATCAATACAGATTGGCACAGCACAAGAACTGACCAATCAGAGGGCTTCATTTTACAGATCATACGATAAATAAATTTATTGACCATTAATACAAATCACTAATTGCTTGTGCTTCATCTATGTTGTGCTTCTATATTTCGAAAGATATAATAATATCTAATACTAAGTTCTCTATTGCAATGTCAAAGCTGAAAACAGAGATATGGTCGAACACTGTGAAACTCTACAAGTAAAAGGGCAAAGAAGTGTTGTGTACACAGTACAGAAATATTTAGTTGCTAACCATAGAAACAAATGCAGTATATTCAAGTTCTTACTCCTTCTTTTACAAAGGGGTCTATTTAGGACCCCTTATACAATACGCACTAACCTCAGACCCAAACTCTGACAAGGTGTTTTATACACTCTTACAAATTTTGAACATTGCATCTTACATGTCTTTCATTCCGATATAATAGAAAATTTGTTTACACTTATATAACCTATAAATTGGTGTAAAAATTACTTTCACTTTGCTCAATATAATTCATTATCTCATTTATCAGTTGGATTACATGCCGATAGTTATATCTGTAAATTGCTTTTATTTGGTACATTTTTTTATTAGTTGATTTGGTTCAAACTATTCTAAATCGAAGATTGATAACAAGTTTATCTGGCATTCACAATTACTGGCATTTGGATTTTTCTCCAAAATATGCCAAATTAAGTACTCTTCAATCCTCTGAAAATGGCAAAGAACAATTAAAAGGAGTTGGTACAAAAAGAAAGTTAGAATCAGTATACATTACTGTATCATGAATGTAATGCATTTAGGTAGGATTAATGCAATAATTTGAGAGTATGTGATACCTATAACCAAGCATCTGTGTACTGTAAATGTAGAAATTAAGTTGCATTGGACATAACTAAACAACTCTCGGGTCTCAGGTCTTATTCAATTTTCGCTACAGCACTCATATGAACTTTCGCAAGGATTCTAGCAAAAATGCACACATCCATCAAAAATAGTTCTTTCTATCAATAATCTACAAATTTCCTAAAATGTATAGAATAGTAGTCTGTCCATAATGTTACTTCATACATATATCTTACAAAAGGTTAAAATACATCGACGCTCTGACTAAAACACACTGCACACTATATGCATATTAAACCTGTTGCTCAAATCTTTATCAATACATATTTATATCATTTTCACAATTTCACTCCATTTGGTACACTTCCATTTTCCTACATTCCGCTATCATGACTATCAGGTAATAACAACCAATCAGACTGCAGGGTTTTGATCATGTGATTAAGTTCCACCAATCAACTGGATCCATTCACAAATTGTTCCACCAATCAACTGCACCTACTGTTTATTGAACATCAATATCTCACTACAATAACATTTCCTTTGGTGTAAGAAAGTTCCATATGTACAGATCATATCGTATGTCGTGAGTCTATACCGCCTCAATTCGCCCCCCCCCCCCTTCCCCATCCCTCTTCATCCCACATATAGCATCAGTCTATGCATCTATAGCTCTTATAACAGCTGACACATCATTGTCTGCATAGCCCATTGCTTTGGCTTTTTTAAATAACTGAAATAAGATGAAGATATTATGGTTAAAGGAATATTCCTTGCCAGACTCTTTCTCTCTTGATATGGTAGCTATAATCATGTATATAGTTTCCATATTTAGCAAAACATGGGAAAATGTTTTAATGTGGTCAATATTGATCATTTAAAAATCTAGTGCTTATTTCCAGTGAGCTGCCATCTTTTAAGATTTCTTGCAGGAAGTGATGTCATCAACTCTCAACTTCTATAACCTTGCCCATAACAGTATAGGAAAATCACTTCTAGACAAGTGATCATTACTTTCTGTGCAAAAATATTTTCAGGGCTTGTCAACTTAGAATAAAAGAAGAGATTTTCAGAAGGATTAAATAAGATACAAAGTTGAAAAAGAATATTTAGCTGGTTTTGTAATTCTTAATAGCTCCTCACCTAATGCTATATGCAAAGTTGAGAGACGATGACATCACTTCCTGTGTGAAATTTTAAAAGATGGCAGCTTACTGGAATTGAGCATCACATTTCTAAGTGAGCAAATTTGACCATATCAAAACATTTTTGCGTGTTTTGCTAAACATGGCAAGCATATATATGGTTATAGCTAGCATATGAGAAGAGAGATGGTTTGGCAAGGAATATTCCTTTAAACATTGTTAAAAAGAGTAGAAATACATCATGAGTTCATTAGTCAAAAAATATATTGAAATTCAGAAATAATAAATGAACAACTAATTCAGTTATAAGCAATACAAACTAATATTTAAATATATATATGTAAATGCAAAATAGCGATGTTATAAAGGCAAATGAAAGGGTATTGCAAGTCTAGAAACTGCCCAAAATACTACTAGAGTGAATTTGGTTACCTGATACTTTACATTCAAATAAAGTATAGTGCCTATATTATAACAATTTCTTTGTGACTCAGTGGTCAACTAAGTATTAAAAAACAAAGCCCTTCAAAAGTATAGTATAACCAGTTGTTCATTTAAAGAATCTAATTTGTGACCTGGAATTAATTGTGTATTAACAATGTGACCCTTTAAAATGTCTTACTTCATTTGAAACTGCTGTAACAGGAAGTGGTTGATCGGTCTGGTCCCCCATATTGATTGCAAGTCGCATATCTTTTTGGAAATTTCTAACTAGGTTTTCTGGTTCATATCTGCCTTCCATCATTGCTGAAAAAAAATTAACAAAAATTAGCCACAATGGGCCAAATCAAGAGTAAACAAGACACAGAGTGTAAAATATTGCAATTGAGAAAAAAATGGCCACCATGTAATTTACCCAGCATGCTTAAAATCCAATCAGATCTTAGGACTAACCTCGTTTCAAGTTGAACTGAAGTGACAATATTGCACTTTTTAAAGTAGGAACAAGAAAATTGGAAGCAAATGCGTGACATATGCAATTCGCATTAAAATTCTTATTGTGTTCGCTTTTTCGGCGTTCATTTTTCAGCGTTCATTTTTTTATTTTTATGTACTTCTCCTGAAACATTTTTGCTTGACAATAATCAGATAAAATGCATATTAAAAAGTGGGTGCGATTTCAATTTCTTCAATTGAACAAATACGTGACAAATATGTGGGAAAGTTGGACGGCCTGAAACAATCACCCACCTTTGCCTCTGTCTTTAATAAGTGGACATGAAAGAGACCCAAAGTCTAACACCTGTAGCACTTCCTCCTGATCCAGTCCCACTTTCTCTGCCAGCGCGAGACCTTCCGCAAGACCTGTCATATTAAAAATATTTATAGTGTTTTCTCATTACTTAACATTTCCTCACACATCGTTGAAATTTTAAAACATTGTATACTGTTTAGCTAGAAAGCACAGTGAGCGTGGGATTGACTTGACGTCTTAATACGTAAGTTCATTTGTCAATATTGGTGGTACAAATTAAACTGTTATTCGTATCAGGTCATATATTCATTCATTTTAAGTCTATCCATAATATCTATTTGACCTGTCATCACGATTTTCCTTGAAATCCTTTTTAATTTCTATACCAGTATTTTTACATTGTTGTATGATATGACAATGAATGTGAAAATAATAGTAATATAGTATTGTAGTACCTGTTAACATGGTTCCCATAATAGAACTATTAATCAGTTTCATGCGTGCTCCATTACCAACTTCCCCTGAAAACAATCACACATTAAAAGGTGAACACAAATACACTTGGGGGAACTATTCAAACTGGTTATGAAAAATTATCGGTTTCAGTAACAAAAAATTGGTCTGATTTTTACTTTTTCCATGATTTTCTGAGTCATAGGCAGAATCTTCAGCATCATATTGTTTAAGAAAATCTAATTGTTAACGAATATTTCACATGATTTCAGAACTGTTGATAACCTGTTACAGCATTTTCATGATTTCAAAATTTCCTAGCATGATTATTATGCTCACAGATAATCAAATTCACTCAGTGTAAAATTCAAGAATTGAACCAAAATGAACAAGTTTACATTTATTTAATTACCAATGATTTAAAATATATTCTGAGAAATGATACCTCACAGGTTTCATAATTCATAATCCCTGACAGGTTTTATGTAGATAGCATTTTAAACATTACACAACTTACCTAAATAAACTGTCCGATGTCCCATGGCTTCAAAACATGAATAACAGTCTTTGTATAGTTTTTTGTCGCCTGCTGTAAGTATGATCAACTGGCCGGTTTCTGCCATAAACTTGTTGCCTGACACTGGGGCCTCTAGAAATCTCCCACCTTTAGCATTTATTGCCTATAAGTAGGTAATGCAGTACATTAAAACCTGTTTACCCAAACACCTTTCTAATCCAAACACCTCTCAATGTAAACACTTTCTTTGTCCATATTTTAATTTCACATAGCCTCAGATATTAATTCTTTCAAAATCATGCAGTTTTCTCCGTTCTAAGCAGTTTTCAAGTGGTTTTGACCCTTTTGGGGCAAAGGAGTCAAAAGTGAGCCCCTCCTGAAAAATTCCTGGCCACGGGCTTGCGATCTGAACTCTTTTGGTTGGTTCCAGGGGTGTTCGGATAAGACAGGTTCAACTGTACATACAATAACATATACTGAATGTATTGTAATATGGTATGTTGATGAAGGGTATCATACCATCAGAACAATGAACACTTTTTCATTTTAGCTCATACAAAAGAGAAAAATCTAGTGCTATTTGCAAACCCCTACAGACTTACTATCCTAATGTTCTTCTTACCTCGTTAATATCTGTGACTGTTTCTACATCTATTGTTGACATATCTACATAACCTTTTCCTGAACATATCCCTTCAAGAATACCTGAGTTGCCAAATACAATCTGAAACATATAACACATACATTACCAAATCAATTTCAATCCGAAACAAATAAAGTAAATCACACTTTTATTTCAAGATCTTTTAGGAGTTATGATTTGAAAATCCGCCTCAGTGTTTAGCTGCCATACATAATCTAAAAGAAAACCAAGAAAATGAAATTTTTACATGAAGACTTTTCAGAGGAGTCTAATTCTACTAATAGTCAGTGCAAAACACTATAGCCTAAAGAACAAAATGGACCATATCAAAAATGGACCATATCATTTTTTGTACATTAGATATATATAGCACCTTAAACACCATAATTATAATGAAAAAGGCATGGTGAAAACTTTTGAAACAGTTAGCATGTTAAATCCTATAAGAATATCCACATTTTATACTGTCGTTTCATACTACAGGTATACATACGAGTTTCCCTTATTTAAGTGCAATGTAAATAAAACAAGATTATTGAATACGTGCAACACAAAAGGCAGCTTAAGTAGTTCTGAAACAGCTTTATAGATGTCAGGATAAATCAATATAATTTAACCATGTTTACCAATAGGATGCAGCAGGAATGTAGTGGTAACATTGTTAGTTTATTACATTTCAACAATTCAGTCAAAATTTCACAGATCAAAGTCAAAATACAATCTATCAATACCTCAAGAATATATGTATGAATGATAATATTAACAGATGTATACCATTAAAAACCAGATGGATTTTTTCATGCTAGAAATACAAATACTGGTACTACACTACACTATACATTTACCAACTTGGACACCAGAAAGAATGCCAATTCACATGATCAAGTATATATACCCAACATTACTGCTTCCTAAACGAGGTCCGAAAATCAAGGGTTATCTGATCAAAGTTACCCTCCCTTGGTTGCCACTTGACCTTTTGCTCCATTTTAAGTCATACTCTTCTACATTTTCTCATTGTTATTAATAAGTCATACTTTTCAACATTTTTACACTGTTATTTATGAAGGGTTATCTGATTTAATGTTATTGTTATGTCTCCTGAAAGCCACCACATTTTTTGGGGTAGGCTAAGATTCTATTTTTTATGATCTTCATTCAGTGCAACTTAGTGCAGTTTGTGTTTGATATAAAAAAAATTTTTTTTAACAACAATCATGTCAGTATGAGAATTAGTTGGTTATCTAAAACTGACATTTTCAACAGTTGAACTAAACTAAACAATGAGAACCGAGAATGTATTTTGTGAAAACTCAAATTTAATTCTTTAAATTATACTTAATAAATAACCCGGGGTTTATGAGAGATTTATTGTAGAATATATTATTATATTTTGCCAAACTATTCTTTTGATTTCTTTCTTTCAGGGTCTCACAGAGAAAACCATTTCCTATCATTAGACGATATATGGTGGCTTTTTATTTCATATATACATGTATGTATGTAACGTTTTCAATTCAATAACTTATTTATCCACATTAAATTGTACATATACATGTAATTCATATTTTACTGAAATCTGTACTGAACGCAATGACTCAACTATTTTAACACAAGGCATTAACATGCAAAATGCCGATCACCACCTGATGGAGAAAGTTAGAGGGGGGGGGGCTGAAAAGAGTTACCAAACCTAATCACAGACGATGGAAATTAATTTTGAATGGATCAGATTTCAGCAAACATATTGCACAAATTCTAAAGCCATTTCATAACTGTCACATAAGATAAAATAATGGTTAATTTATTCACAGTTAATATGATGTCCGATTTTGAGTTATGTCATTTGTAGAGGTGCCAGGTTCAAGTAAAGGTCACTTTGTAACACTATCTTAGTTGATATATCTACTTTTAGGACTGACATAAACATGACTTTTCAATATAAATGGTATCAGTTAAACGATAAATCTTGTTTTTTTCAAAAACGTAGTACCATGGGTACTGGGCTCACATGGGTAAAGTACCTATACAATTAGCTGCCTGGATAGTAAAGCAAATCAATGCAATACTTTTGGATTAATGACATATGAAGAATGATATTTCGACAAATGATGGCCATTTTGAACGTTTGTGACATATTTTGTGGAAAATTGTTAATATTATAGTTTACCTCTAGAATTTGGTAGTATGTTGTAAAAATTTTAGCTAGTTGACTGAATATTTTTGGAGTTATGTTCACAAAGAGCTGAAAACATGACTTTCTGGTTATAAAAGTAGCAGCCATTTTAGAATGGCCCATGGAAAGAATGAACATGTTCATTCTCGATGGGGCATGGAACTCGATGGGCAATGTCCCACAGAGTTCCATGGCCCCATGGAGTCCCACTCAATGTACGTCTAAGAAGGTCCAATAATACCCCATTGGTATACATGTATATTGGACTTAAACGGTTAAGAGTTGAGCCTTTAATTGTGCTGCACTCTGTACTTACATCTTTTACTGCGGCTGGGTCGGAGACACATGAGAATGTGATGTCACATGACTTTACGACTTGGACTGGTGTGTCTACTTTCAATGCTCCTACTCTGGTATGTTCTTTGCACTGAAACACATGGAAACAAAAGTTGATTTAATCAAATGCCAACACATAAATAAACATTGCTTCAAATATTTTTCCAATCAAGTATTACTGTGTTTTTCCGGGTGTCTACAAAACAAAGACCTAAGACCTAAGACCTACAAAACTAAGACCCCCCACGTTATAAAACCAAGACCCTGTTATAAAACTAAGACCCCCCACGTTATAAAACTAAGACCCTGTTATAAAACTAAGACCCCCCACGTTATAAAACTAAGACCCTGTTATAAAACTAAGACCCCCCACGTAATAAAACTAAGACCCTGTTATAAAACTAAGACCCCCACGTTATAAAACTAAGACCCTGTTATAAAACTAAGACCCCCAACGTTATAAAACTAAGACCCTGTTATAAAACTAAGACCCCCCACGTTATAAAACTAAGACCCTGTTATAAAACTAAGACCCCCCACGTTATAAAACTAAGACCCTGTTATAAAACTAAGACCCCCCACGTTATAAAACTAAGACCCTGTTATAAAACTAAGACCCCCCACGTTATAAAACTAAGACCCTGTTATAAAACTAAGACCCCCCCACGTTATAAAACTAAGACCCTGTTATAAAACTAAGACCCCCCACGTTATAAAACTAAGAACCTGTTATAAAACTAAGACCCCCCACGTTATAAAACTAAGACCCTGTTATAAGAATCAGTCACCGTGCCTTGCTCTGCTCGCCACAAGGTAGTCTTACCTCTGGGCCTTGTGTTCCCCAGTAACATACAACAGCGGATTATATAAAAATGGACTGTAACAAATACCCGGATTTGTTGATTTTTAAAAAAAGTAATTTTTTGATATCACTTTTTATGCCCGGCATAAAAAGTGATATCCCATTTTATGCTGGCATAAAAAGTGATGTCCCATTTTATGCTGAGCATAAAAAGAGATACTCCATTTTATGCTGGTATTGTTTTGGAAGTGATGTTTAATGGTAGTTCAAGATTTAAGACCCATCATTCTGGCACAGATTGCTGAACCATTGTTAGTTAAGAATTCTTAATAGAATTAAGAATTATTAGCTGAAACTGAGTTGTTTTGCCCTGGCAAACAATTTTCCAACTTGTAGTTCAACTTCTTCTGTCTATTTATTGACAGTCTGTGATGTCATCATCAGTCATCACAATAGAAATGAGGTAATTCACGATGACATCACAAAGTACTCTGATGACATCATCAATCATCACAATGGAAACGAGATAATTCATGATGACATCACAAAGCATCTCTGTCATAGATAGAACTCTGCCACATTTCTTAGAAATCAAACTACTATGTGACATCATAGATAATCTCACTGTCACAGATAGAATTCACCTAATTCCCATTGTGATGATTGATGATGACATCACAGACTGTCAACACATAGACAAAAATGAATTTCAAATGCATATTGGGATATTGTTTGCTAGGACAACCAGAACAGTTTCAGCTATTAATTCTTAATTCTATTAGGAATTCTTAACTAAAATAAGTTGCTTCTGGTCCTTTTATAACAGGGTCTTAGACCTGTATGTTACTGGGGAACTCGAGGGATAGAGCCGAGACTACCTTAAAATTATGTATATGTGTATGTTACTAGGGAAAACAAGGGTCAGTGGCAAGACTACCATATGTGTATGTTACTAGGGTAAACAAGGGCCAGAGGCAAGACTACCATGTGTAGATTCTGTATGTGAGAAGGGAACACAAGGACCAGAAGCAAGACTACCTTTTGTAGAATCTTTATGTTAGTGGGGAGAATCTGTATATTAGAAGGGAACACAAGGACCAGAAGCAAGACTATCTTTTGTAGAATCTGTATGTTACTGGGGAACACAAGGCCCAGAGGCAAGACTACCTTGTGGCGAGCAGAGCAAGGCACGGTGACTGATTCTTATAACAGGGTCTTAGTTTTATTACGTGGGGGGTCTTAGTTTTATAACAGGGTCTTAGTTTTATAACGTGGGGGGTCTTAGTTTTATAACAGGGTCTTAGTTTTATAACGTGGGGGGTCTTAGTTTTATAACAGGATCTTAGTTTTATAACGTGGGGGGTCTTAATTTTATAACGTGGGGGGTCTTAGTTTTATAACGTGGGGGGTCTTAGTTTTATAACAGGGTCTTAGTTTTATAACGTGGGGGGTCTTAGTTTTATAACAGGGTCTTAGTTTTATAACGTGGGGGGTCTTAGTTTTATAACAAGGTCTTAGTTTTATAACGTGGGGGGTCTTAGTTTTATAACGTGGGGGGTCTTAGTTTTATAACAGGGTCTTAGTTTTATTACGTGGGGGGTCTTAGTTTTATAACAGGGTCTTAGTTTTATAACGTGGGGGGTCTTAGTTTTATAACAGGGTCTTAGTTTTATAACGTGGGGGGTCTTAGTTTTATAACGTTGGGGGTCTTAGTTTTATAACAGGGTCTTAGTTTTATAACGTGGGGGGTCTTAGTTTATAACAGGGTCTTAGTTTTATAACGTGGGGGGTCTTAGTTTTATAACAGGGTCTTGGTTTTATTACATGGGGGGTCTTAGTTTTATAACAGGGTCTTAGTTTTATAACGTGGGGGGGTCTTAGTTTTATAACAGGGTCTTAGTTTTATAACGTGGGGGGTCTTAGTTTTATAACAGGGTCTTAGTTTTATAACGTGGGGGGTCTTAGTTTTATAACAGGGTCTTAGTTTTATAACGTGGGGGGTCTTAGTTTTATAACAGGGTCTTAGTTTTATAACGTGGGGGGTCTTAGTTTTATAACAGGGTCTTAGTTTTATAACGTTGGGGGTCTTAGTTTTATAACAGGGTCTTAGTTTTATAATGTGGGGGGTCTTAGTTTTATAACAGGGTCTTAGTTTTATAACGTGGGGGGTCTTAGTTTTATAACAGGGTCTTAGTTTTATTACATGGGGGGTCTTAGTTTTATAACAGGGTCTTAGTTTTATAACGTGGGGGGTCTTAGTTTTATAACAGGGTTTTAGTTTTATAACGTGGGGGGTCTTAGTTTTATAACGTGGGGGGTCTTAGTTTTATAACAGGGTCTTAGTTTTATAACATGGGGGGTCTTAGTTTTATAACAGGGTCTTAGTTTTATAACGTGGGGGGTCTTAGTTTTATAACAGGGTCTTAGTTTTATAACGTGGGGGGTCTTAGTTTTGTAGGTCTTAGGTCTTAGGTCTTAGTTTTGTAGACACCCGTGTTTTTCCTAAACTATTACGATGTATTTCCTGAACTAAAATGCTTTGGTGATGTGTGACCAATCAGAGTTGCTGGATTGGAGATTTGGAGTTGGTTTATTCATTAAAACATTGCACAGTATCAATGCGAGGATGCCTCTGTTAGAAACAATTTTCTCTTAAATCACCGTAAAGAAAAATTGAACTTTTTCATAATAGTTTCACACAATTGAGAATAAATGAGTCTATTTCACAGATGTCTTTATTGCAATCTGAACATCATTTTTTATATCTACAATTATCCATATTCATCCAAATATTCCCAAATCCTTGTCAGATATCAAAAGAAATGCTTAACGACTGAAGCAGGTTATAATTTGATGACAACGTATGAATGCAATCTGGGTATGGTAACATTCCACTATCTTCCCAATATTCTCCCCCCTCTTATTTCTTATGCCATTTACCAGGAAAAATATTGATTGACTTGAAGCAGGCTATAAGCAGAATCAACCAGCTGTATAATAACATATAAGTTCAATAACCTTAAGGACTAACAACCTCATCTCTTTAGGGACATGGAATATATTTTATGAGTTCACTTAAGCCTCAGCCCCCCAACCACATATACCAATTATCTGATGCAAAGAAAAGAGGGGTGATGGCAGTAATTAGATGAACATGTGTGCTAGACATTCTATAAAGTGTTTACAACCTCACACCCCTGTGTTATAACCACCTAGGCCGATCAATACCAGAAGATAATTATCCAATACCCGGAAATTTGCACCCTTATTAATCAATAACAAGTTTTACATGGAGAGTCCGATTACTGATCCATTGTAAAAAATATGAATTAATTTCCAGTTAGCTTGTACTTTTATTATTTTCTGAGAAATGATTCTTTATTCAAAATGTAATTTCTAGGCTTCTGGATAGTTACCTCCATTGTATTTGAGAGAATTCTGGGTATTAGTCTCCTTCATTCAATCATATGGCAAATGGCAATAGCATGCTGTTCCAACATTTTTAATGGACTTAGTGAGACAATAGACAACCCTAATAAATCATTAACTAATAACAATGTTAGATGCTTTAGCTACTTCAGACACAATATCTGAAACTACCCCAGACTAGTGGAACAGTCAGATGTAGTTGGATTGTTTCTTCTCATATCCTAATATGTTAATTGTCAACTTACTTTGATATTCTCATTAAAGTCCCTGCATCGACCCCTTGATACAAAAATATGATGACATACACCTTCAAGTTAGCATTCTTATTCATCAACAATCCCATCAGTTGAACAAGGGCAATACAAGGACATATTATTCAATGACCTTTAGTGCAAAGTTTTATGACACATTTCATTTGACATGTATAGAACAAGGGCATCTTATATCATCACATTGCACGAAGGGTATAAGAACAGACAGATTAATGACTCCTAAGCAGGTTGATGATGTAAACCTATTTATAGCTGGTTTTACATTCACCTCTGTGGATTATAAAACTTCATTCCATTAGGAGATCACCTTCACCTTCAGATTTACCTTATATCAAAAATGTATACAGTGTCATGTTCTCAATCTAAACCCTAAGGCCTTAACACTGATACCCTGCGTGCAGAGTCTAGTTAAACTACACTCTGCCTAGTAGACACCATATTGCAGTTTAGTAGCCCCGCCACCACGACGGGTACCGGTGACAGTTTGGGAAATAAATCACTTCTGACCTACGCGCTGACCTTTCTTCCACCAATCAGCGAGCTTGAAGAAACATACGCCAAATGCGTTCTAATTAAATATACGCATGT